GTCATATATTGGTAACTGCGATGCACTAGAGGACCAGGTAACGTTTTGGATTTCATAAACATCCTATATCTACGTCCAAGTATTTAAAGCAGCGAACACAGCTTGATCGGGTAAATTAGCCGTACACGTAGCTGTAAATACGGGTAGATTGCCTCTTACCTGGGAGAAACGAGTAGGCTACCGGGTAGAGTGGTTACGCCATTATCACATCTGGGAAATCATGGTTGCCTTTTATAAAACTACGAGATAATCATGTTCGCTTACCCTCACACGTAGGCTGAAACCGTGTACAGAAGCATTGTTTTTCTTGTGTCATAGATATTTTTGCAGGAAGACTCATAGAAGTTTGCCATGAAGTAGGCCGATGGTTCTTCGAAAATATATATGCATTCCACACTTTCGAACGATTTCTTACGCCATACTAGTCATCCCAGGGAGGGAACGAGAAGACCACATTTGCAGTCCGCGGTCTTGTAATTGGTCTTTTTAACTTTTTGCACCTACAACAGCTCCTCTTGGATTTTGAAAATTGATGATTCCTTATCTTTGCGATTCATTCAATGAACTAATGTGAATTGAGTTCATTTTACACAAATTTATCATCCAAGTTGCGTAGTGGCCCGAACGAAAAAAAAAGCGGTTCTAATTCCTCCAGGCGACTGGATAAAGAAGAGTGTAAACAGTGCACCATAGTAGCGTTGAAAGCAAATTATTTTTTGCAAGATTACCACGTGTACGCGCATACCCGGAATACAGATCGCCAGAAATCGAGTAAATATCACTCACGTGGTGATCACATCTGTCTTCCTGCGTAAAAGGTTTCTATGAAAACAAGATCCCGAAAACTGTAAGTCTCAGAGAGCCAGGGAATCAATTTCAAAGGTAGTTTTGTCGAGTATACTTTGCTTTGATGAGGGCAGTGAAAACGTTCCTTTTCAGCTATGAATACCAACGAACAATGTGTTTTTGTTCCCTCCAAAAACACAGCAGAACTTAGAAATTACGAAATCAATCAGTTTACCTCAAAAACGACCTTTGAAATTTTTCAAACAAGGAAGAGACTAGCTGAAAACTTTGTTTTATTTTGTTCTACGTGACTCGGTCCTTCCGGTTTTTGTGTTCAAAATATTGTGTCACTTTTGTCCACTTTTGCGGGTTCTAATTTTTGCCATTTTTGCGGCATTCTCAGCGATCCACAAAAAAGTTCCGCAAATAAAATTATAAAACGATCTCAAAATTTAACACGGAAAAATTAACTCCACGGTCAATACATAGTTTCACAAACATCGCTATTTGCGATAAATTTTAGTTCAATGAAACCCTTGATTTAATCGAGCAATAGCCCTCATAAAAAAAAAATGTCATAGAATGACACAACTCGCAGTTTTTTCTTTTCTTCTTTTTTGCTAATTTATTTATTTATTTATTGATAGTCTGTCAATTAATTCCCAGTGAGAAAAACCAAACTATATCGATCACAAAAATGGTTTTCCAAAATATACAAACCCTTGGTGGGGAGTACTCTTCGGAATTCTTTGTAGGGGGGGGGGGGGGGAGGGTTGCCGCCCGTTTCTCCAAATCCTGACGTGTGCCGCCCGATTGTCCAAATCCTGTGCCTATATCTTCAGACCATGTCATTTTCCATACCCTTTTGCAGACCCGGCTTTCAAAAATTGTACTCGGTTTGCGAACCCATTCCCTTGTCCAGGTGAAGTGAACATTTAATACTTGTCGCACTTTGTAAAAAACTTGAAATGGATGGTCGTCGGAGAAGTAAACCAACAATAAGTATCATCATCAAAAACAACAACAGCGACGGTAATAATAATAACATTCCAGTCAACGGTTTTTAGCACCAATTTCTCAAGTGGGGCGGAGGAAATTGTTCGCATCAACTGCGGCCTTCAAGCTTCAAGAGTACAACTCTTTCTGTGCGGACGACTTCGAGACCATGAGATAGTGTCCATAACGGCAAGAGTCCGTAATAATGGAAGTTTGTATTGGAATTTAGCTGCTATCTGTATTATCGGGTTGTCCATTAAAGTAAGGTGTCTTTCAGGCTAAAGGTGATTGGATAAGCAAGATATTTTGAAAGTTTTGCTTGTAGCACGGGCAAGAAAAAATCCGGTTTTATTACCAGAACTGATATGACCAGAGATATAACCATGTTTTATTGTTTATTGCCATGAATAAGCGCTATACTAATATTTCATAGCTAGAACCAAAAAACACAAACTCAGAGCACAACACGGTATCATAATCAGACAATCATTATCATCATCATCATCATCATCGATATTATTATTACTATTATTATCGCACTTAAACGTTCTTTAAAACATTGCATATCATTTGCCCACGTCATTGTGCCACCTTTTTTAAAAAAAATTCCCTTTTTCATGTAAAAAAGTATTTATCTTTACTTTTACCAATTGAATTTGAAAATTACCCTTAATTTAGCAATATTTATTATATTTATTACAACTAATAGTGTAATCCAGGCTCTTTAACGATTGATTTGAGGAAAAATATGAATTCACAATGATCAAATGGCAGACGAGTTCAATTTTTAACAGAGATAATTTCTCTTGGAATGTCATAACTTGCGGATTTTTTTGCTTTCTAAGCATCGTTTTATGTACAGATCAATTTTTCCATAACGATTGCGGTCAATTTATGCAGGTTTCAGATAAAATGGAGTACACTTAATTAATTTAAAATGGCGGATCCAAGATGTTGGAAGGTTCCAGATCCTTTTTTAACAATCAATAACGTCATCACGACATCACTGCTATTTTTTAAGATAATTAAGACGGAATCCATCAGGAAATTGAGTATTTTTTTTATTTCCACTGGGCAGAAACCTTGCCCCAGAATAATTTAAATCATATATATATATTTTTTTTTACATTTTTCAAGGGTTAAAGACGTAGTTAGTCATCTGTATCTGTAACACCAAAGAAAATGTCTTATGGGAGCCCGGGAAAATTAAAATTACTCAATTTCCTGATGGATTCCGTCTTAATGTGTTTGCTAACTTCTTAATTTTGTCAGACTTCTAACTATTGAGTATTTTTCGGTTTGAGAAAAAATTGAAATTGGAATTGCCAATAAGTTCAAAAATATCATGATGACTTCATAATGACATCAAATCACGTCATTGTGTCGATCAAGTTATGCCTAGATGTTGGAAATAGAGTACAGTATTCTGTGTTATTGTGGTGGCCGTATCATGAGCTGCTTTGATATAAATCATCATCATCATCATAAAACATCCTCAATAATACTAACAATAAACTATTATTATTATTATTATTATTATTATTATCATTGTTGTTGTTGTTGTTGTTGTTGTCGTTGATGATGATACTTGTTATTGGGTTTACTTGTCCTGCGACCATCCATTTCAAGTTTATTACAAAGTGCCACAGATTCTTTTATTACAAAGCGCGATGGTCTGTTATTACAAAGTGTGAATCTAGTCTTTCAGTCATTAGATCATTTTCACAAACCAAGTGTATGTGAAAGTAAACATTTCATTGATCTTAATAAGTGTTTCCATTTCAGCACTCGATATCCAACCACTGATCAACTGGTATTCGCTTTTCTTGTAAATACGCATGGATTCCCTAGAAGACGCAGAAGAAGTGTTACGATCAACAAAGTCAAATTCTAACTTTCAGCGCTTGACACGACTTCTAATGCGCGGTGGTGCAGTGCTTTTAAGAGAGATATTCGACTCCATTCACAGCCCTGCCAATCTTCCCACAACTCTTAGTGACCCTTCAGTAGAAAGGAAGCTAAGAACAGCAAGGCTTACCCGTCCCGACTGGAATTGTTTATACCCTTCCCCAGGGGTATACGGTAAGTCGAGTGATTTTGACATCAGTTTAACCTTCAGATTGTTACGAACAATATGCAAATTGAAGCCTCCCCCAACAGGATGGGACAGCCTACCAAACGACTCAGAACACAGTCTTCAAGCAGACATGGTACGAATAAAATATTATCGCAATGAAGTTTATGGACACAGCAGAAATTTGGAATTATCAGATGATCAGTTTCTTGACCTCTGGGGAAAAATCAGTAAAGCGCTGTTGAGGATTGGAGCAAAACTCAGCCATGAAAAACAAATCAGATTAAAAGGTACCTTTGAGAAATTCCTTCATGATCCCTTGACGCCAGAGGAAGAAAGATACGCCGACGAAGTAGAGCAGTGGTACGAAAAAGACATCGACAACAAAAAAGTGCTACAAGAGCTTGTTCAGGAAGTCAGAGAAATGAAAGAAGACTTTAGGGGTCAGCAAGTAGGTCAGTATTACTGGTTGCTTGATTTTGCCCTTGTTTAAAGCAATTTTTTTGCGTAGCTGAAAGAGCTCAGTTACGTACAGACAGTTTTGTCGGAGGACTGCGAAAATTATCTCGGCTGGACGGGCTACGGGGAAGCGTTTATTTGTCCCTTACTGGGTGATTGCTGACACAAAATACCTGATTGTACAGCTGAAAATGAAATTGTATCATTCCCGCGGTACAGTTTTCCCCAAATGTTGTGCAAGTAACGAATTGCCCTAGTCATCAACTGCTGTATCTTTTTTCCAACAGCAGTACTACGCCTTGTGAACACCTTCGAAAGGATCGCCCAGTTTGGATTAGTGGTAACCCCTTATGAAATGAAAGACAATCAGCAGGAAAATCCAGCAGAGGTAGACATGTGGAACGTTATCATGTCTTTCAAAGACTCCTTCAGAGCACTTTTTAGAAATGTAAGAAACAAACTGAATGCCACTGTTGAAGACATTGAACTAGGAAGTTTATCAATAACTGTTAGATGTAGTTCACTGCAGATCCTTGAAGGATTGTGGAAAGATTATATCAGTGGTCACCTTACTCAAGTGGTTCAAGAAACGCTGGTGACACATGAGGTCTTGCAAATCCTTGGCCTCGATGAGTTGAAGCTGAAAGTGTTCATTTCTGAGGAGGAATATGAGAAAGGAATATGACTACTCGCTTTCTGTCATTAAAGTTCACTTAAAAACAAAAACAGCGGAAAGGAAAGAAACAAGATATAGATCAAGACGATTTTGATGGAAATGAATGGTGCATTTTGGAGAAGTAGGAGATCACAAATTGAACCCGCAGCCCAGCAAATTCCGGCTGTTTTACTCGGATATTTTTTCTGTTGTCTAAGTACATTTCAAAAACCAGGCGACTTCCCTTTGTGACAATCTGTAAGGTGTTTTTGCTACATAATCTTATCATTTACTTTTTTCCCAGTCTGCGATACATGCTTTATTGAAATTATTCAAGATAAATGGCGTTTAGATAAAAGCGTTGGGCAAATTGAAAACAGCATGATTATAACACGATTTTGTAATACACGGCTAAATAACTGGCCCTGATCAAACAGCTAGAGATTTCTTTTAGTTCTATTTTTGTTCTATATTCCTATGCAACTAGCTGGCGAAGTCCCCGGCTTACAGCTCTTAATTACAGCTGTGTCTAGATTTCATTCATGTGGTGTTTGATTTTAACGACAATTTCATGGTGATACTAGTGTTGTTTCACTTACCCCCATGAAAGTGGTGAGGGATTATTTTAATTTTTCATGAGCCACTAAGATACCTTGGAAATGAAAATTTTCACATTAAGTCTTAGTACTCCTTTTTATGACATGTATTTTTTTGTGTATAACAATTTGAGACAATTATTATTACCCGCCGAAAGAAAGAAAGTTTTATATGTCATCATGATCATGGCCAGCCGTGATTAATGTAATGATTCTTAGTACTAAATTATATGCTGGAATTAGGCAAGGCTTCTTGAAGTGTATATAAGAATTTAATTTGTAAAAATGTTCCAGTTGTAAGGATATTGCAGTGAAAAAAGTTGCTTATCTACTGAAATGTTTTTCAAACCTATTTCACATATTTTATATGACAAAATGAAATTATTTATGATCAAAATTTTGAAATTAATAGATGATGATTAATGTCTGATATCAGATTTATACAGTTGCCAGGCAGAAAGAAAGCAAAAATATTTAATTGAATTGTTTTCGGAAGAGGTTATAGGGAATTTTTATAATTAAAATCCTTATTTGGAAATATTGCAGATTTTGAAGATTTTGGAAATTATTAGATTCTAAAGCTGAATATAACTTGTTCAGTAAAAACAGCTACATGTTTTTAATATTAACTTTTTATGCGAACAGTGTCCTATCACTATTATAGCATTTAGTGGCAAGTCTGAATATGAAATGATACCGGAAAAAATAGTGTTGTCTATTTTATGCCATGGAAAGGGTGGAATAAAGTCAATATCAATCAAAGATACATGTACATTGCTTGTTAAAGTTCGGTATACGTTCCAACCCATTTAGTTAGTGTTTTCATCATTAATTTTCCATTAGTGAGCTTGAATTGATTTGATTTGGGGGCCAGAAAAGAATGGTTAACAGTCAAGTACTTTTAATGTAGTTTTCATGGTCCATGTTATATTTTGTTTGCGCCATGAAAATAGTGGAAGGCCATTGAATTATTGTTTTTCATGGGTCTCCAAAAAACCATAAAAAAGCCATGAAAATTTTTCATGCTCAATTAATCTTTCAACATTAATGGAATAACCATGGGTTTTTCATGGGCCATGAATTCAGTGGCCTCATGAAAAGATCATGAACTACAACACCATGAAAATCCTTCTTTGTAATTCATGGCATTTTTAATGCCATTAAAAGGCCATGAAAAGCGGCCCAAAATTTTCATGGTGTTTTCATGAGTATTTCATGGATTTGCCCAAAACTTAAGGGTTTTCATGGCCCATGAAAACTGAAAGATTAAGGGGTTTTTAATGGCTTTTTATTGTTTTTTTTATGCTTTTTCCAGGGTGACATGCCATGAAAAATCTTTGAAGATTTCCCATGAAAATACCATTAAAATCCTCTGAAAATCCGTGAATTTACCATGAATTAATTCACAGGATTTTCACGGGTTTTTAGTTCATAGTGCCTTAGTGTCTAATAAATACAAGTAAACAAAATAATACAATGGAAAATTTCCTAGGTCCTTTAAAACTGTACTTTGTCTTTGAAAGTCCTTGAAAACTCCTTAAAATTTGTTTGTGTGAGGTTGTGCGAGTCATGAGCAATCCTTTATTTACCCTTGGCAGTATTTATAGCACTAATGCTAGTAGGGCCGAGCAAACGCCTGAAACAAATCATTTAAATCAACTTAAGGACCGGTCATTATTTATCGCCTTTGCGGGGCGGAGGATTTGAAGCTAAACAAAGTGAAATTTAGCCTATCCCCTCTTTGAATGTTACTTCACTGAAGTGATCCCCCCTAATAACATTTGATGACTTTCGCGATCCCTCCCCACACCCCCCCACTCCCAACCATTGTCTTCATTTTCTCCGCAAATTTGAGTGGTTCCCCATCTGAATCCTTCCAAAGTTTTCAACGATCCCCCCTTTTGGGTTCTCAGTTACTACTGATCCCCCCTTTTGTTCTCCTAAAAATCAAGTGATCCCCCCCATAAATCCTCCCCACCTCCTCCCAAGGCGATAAATAATGACTGGTCCCTTAACATGGTTTCTCCCAACTGGCTAGATGCAAACCAGCTGGCTATTTACAAGCGTGGCCGAGGATTTGAACCCTGGACCATCGCGAACAAATCCAGCTAGAGCTCAGGGCGGGACTCGAACTGGGGGTCTCCAAATTGCAAGTCCAGCGCTCTAATGGCTCAATCGCGCTGCCTCTTGTCGTTGATATTCTGGGAAACTGCCCTCCTACCCGTCCCCTAAACCAACATTAACACTTACTTCTCACTTAGGGCAAAATGTTGGCTCAGGGGAGGGGTAGGTGGGCAGTTTCTTAGAAACGTATAACACGATCCGATATTGTTGTTGTTAGTGACCTTTAATTCGAGGACGAGGACAACTACGACTACAGGGACGAGAGTAAAAGGGTGAAAGAAGGGGATGACTTGACATAAGAAGAGAAATCATGAATATACACACTAATTTTTACTTTTTGATTGATAGAGTACGCTACGCATATTTCCTCACGCACAACATCATTCATCACTCGTCCAGGTAAGGTATAAAAGAAGCAGGTTTGAATCACGCTACAAATGTGTGATTCTTATAAAAGGGAAACTCTCCCGAGCTTTTCGAAGCCATATCCTCAAAGCAAGAAATGATTACAGGGTCCCTTTCTCGAGTCATACTCAGTCAATATCGTACTCAGTCGTACTCATGCAGCCGTACGTCAGTCGTACTCAGTCGTATCGTATACGGAGAGTAAACAAAGCTATGTATAACGATGCTCAGGGGTCCGACGATCCCCACCCAACCTCACTTTTGTTTAGGATTCTTTTTCATTAAGACAAAATCTCTAAAATTCCGTCTTGTATATCAACACAAATTCTTCGATATCCACACAAATTCTGCAATTCGATGACTAGAATCATACGTTTTGAAAGTGATTTTTGCGTATAAGATATGTAGACACTTAAAACGCAAATTTCGCCCCAGAAACCAAAGAAACCCTGACGAAATCGCCTCTTAAATCTGTTAAAGCAATAAAGTAAAAACCGCATATAAGAATTTTTGAAGAATTTGGAATATAGTGAACCACATAAAGCAGAAAAAACTTAAGCTCGTTTTGTACTTTTTTCACATTTCTTGCGTTTCAATGCTCGTAATAGGCATTATTGTTACGTGTAAATAAAGCAATGTCATTGAAAGGCTGGCACTATGACGCTGAAGAAGTCCAGTTATCCACTCTTGAAGTTGAAATGTTGGCCTGATCATGTTAAAGTGCTCCTTTCTGGCCCTTTTTTCCTTACTCTCCTTGTCCAAAACAGAGTTAAACCTCAGCTAATCGCTCCATAACTGGAACAGTTTTTGACCTCGCAGAAAAAACATAAGCAACACGCATATAAAGAGGTTCGGGCCATCTTAAATAAGGCCAATTTCTAGAAAAAAAAACTTTTAGTAGCTAGAGGTTCCTTAACATTAGTCATGTCCTTTAAACCTGCTTTCTTTTTTAGCAACTCGGAAATATTCAATTGTTGTATTTGGCAAAGGCAAGACAAGTGTTGGCGACAGGGCGAAGATGACAGTTTACGGAGTGAAAAGAAGAGGTAGGAATTGAAAATAAGCAGCGAATGCTCTTGTTATTAGCGGAGATCTCGAGCGCGAAGCGCGCGCAGCGGAGCACCATGGGTAAGAAAATATGATAATCTAAACCCAACCGAAAAAATTTGATAATCACGTGACCGTACGCCCGACCATCCGTGTGCACCACAGGCATACCAATGTAAAATAACTCAACCAACAGGTATGGCAACCCAAATGCAACTCGAGGTTATTTTGGTGGGAAATCGCATTGCCACCCGCGTGCGCAACTAAAGAGGGACGAAAACGGAAAGCGAAAATTTTTTCTGTATCCGTGTTTTCTAAAGTATTAAGCTTAGATTAATTGTCATGCCCACAAGTTTGGAATATACAGCAAGACAAAGACAAAGAAAAAGAGAAAGTAGGCAGCGGGCAATCGAAACTCAACGAGAAAAAGGGCGCCAGAGATCTAGAGCGAGAGATAAAAAGCAAAGGAGGAATTTTTTATTTTGTGGCGGCGGTGACAAAATGAGAAATGGTAGCGGCCACCAATGCAAGGGAAAATAAGCGGCAGTGGAAAAAAGTGAACGAGAACACGTACGACATTTCCTCCATAAAAAAGTTTCTGGAAGGTTCACGTTGTAGTCGTACAAAACAACGGCAAAGAAATGTACAAAAAAGTGTGCTACACGTGCAAGTTAATTTTTTGCTAATTAGACCTATTGCAAGTTGTTTTTCACCGTTCTCCGGCGTTGCCTTTGCCGCGTAGCATTACACGATTTTATATTTTGTTTGAACAAACTACAAATATTATCGAGAGCTTCAATTTTAGCCCTGGCTAAATCTATACATTACAAAAGTTTACGGTTATTCCACAGGCCACCC